ATATATATATATGGTATCAGATTGATCTAATTTCTGTGCACTGAGGACAAGCAAGTCCTAGGTTACAAACTGAACTCTCCAATGCAAGAACAAGATGCATTTCTTCCTTTAGGAGGTGCTATTGTCACGAGAAAAGAAAAAGGTTTCAGTTTTGTATATTTTCCAAATCATTTCTAAAAAATATGTATGGTATCAGATTGATCTAATTTCTGTGCACTGAGGACAAGCAAGTCCTAGGTTACAAACTGAACTCTCCAATGCAAGAACAAGATGCATTTCTTCCTTTAGGAGGTGCTATTGTCACGAGAAAAGAAAAAGGTTTCAGTTTTGTTTTTGCATGTGGGCGGGTATTCTGTTTGTAATAACTGTTTGGATACACTATATTTTTAATATGCTAGTTGTGATAATTTCATGCCAAGTAAAAATGTCCATAGTCATATTTTATGTTCCTAAAGTAACAGAATGACTTTCAATCTAGAAAAGACAAAAGAAGTGCTAATGTAGCATTTTTTTCAATTTTTCCGAAAATTTCCATTCCCCCCCGAAAAGAAACTGGAAAAAACCCGGGTTTTTTTCCGAGCTTCAAAATTTCCGGAAATTTTACATCTCTAGTTTTAGTTATACTAATCATTTATAGCTTGGTATCTTTGTAACGTGATAGGCTTTTTGTTGCTCTCCTGACCATTTTTAACACTTCTGGACCAAATTTGGTGGACAGTGGTTTGAATCTAAAATGTCATTCTCATTTGTGCTTCTCTTGGCCATTGTGGTAGCTGCAGGGCTTGCATCCTCTGTTGCTAGCACTTCTGCTTGCTAAGGGCTCCTTGAAAAAAATTTGATCTTGCACACATGGAAGTGCTAGCAGCAGAGAAAGAGAGTGTTGCGGTGGAGGAACCTGGAGAGAAGTGTGAGGGGAATGATGTCATGGGAGCCAAGCCAGTACGGCCTATGTGGCAGCAAGTGGGAATCTAAATGATATACCCCCTGGTTTTTTTCTCCTTCCCATACCCCCCCAACAAACTTAGGCTGTAACACCTTCTCAGGCAAGGCAAGTGAGTTCTGCTTAGTACCTGGTTCAAAGAGAAAATGTTTTACCAGTGAATGGTTTGGGGAAGGGGCAGAGCAATGTGGGAAGAGCGCATGTGAGGAACTCTGATTCGTCTAGGCTTTTTATTCATGTAATATATTTATAGACCTCTTTTGTCAGAACCACCTTGTAGGTAGCCTACAGCTAGGAAACAAGGATCCCAACCAAACTGCAGCAGGGCAAGCATCAGAAAAAGCAAGACAAACAAAACTCCTGCAACTTTCTTCGATTGAACCGTTAAAGGCACAGTTTTCTCTCTCTTCTGCAAAGAGAGGAGAGACTGTTCCTGCCCTGTCCCCAAGTGGAGGGAATTGCAGAGATCTCATAAGACTACACAAAACAGTATGTTGCAAGATGAATTCTTGATTACTCTTGCTCTACAAATGAAAACTGAGCCTTCATTCAGAACTTTTATTTTAGTAGGGTTTATTTTACTGACAACTAGAGGAGGATACCAAACAGTACATCAGTGTATGTGGCAGCCTGAATGACCTTAATTGGCCTGATTCCCTTGTCTTCATTCTCCTCCCAGGGGCTTCATTACCATTATTTTGAGCTTGGAAAGAACACAGATCCTGAGAAGGAGAGTGACGCACGGTTTGATGCTGCATTCACAGTACACCCAGTGTTGGACCCTGTACAGATATACCGGCTACACAGGCATTTTGCACGTGTGGAGCTGGAACGCACTTACCAGGAAATCCAGCAGCTTCAGGTAAGGAACATATGATGCAGCATGGGGGGGTGAATAAGGTCTGGACATGTCACTGGCTGAGCTGAGGGGATTATTCTGATGCTCCTAATACATCCCAGGCTTCATCTGGGAGCTACATTCAGAACCAAACAGGTCAAAACACTGTGAGTTCTGTAATGAAAACTCACAGTATATTTTCAAAAATGTGGTTAAATAATCCCTCCTCTCATGGTACTGGACAGAATTGGACCCCCCACATGTTTGATAATTGCATTTAAAAACAACAGCAGCTCTGGCAGCTCTGATCTTCATTGACCAGTTGCATGGAAGTCATTCAGGGCAGACTACTAGAGCTGCGGTGGCTCAAGTGGTTAAGATGCTGAACTGCAGGCTGTGGAAGGTCAGTAGTTCAGCAGTTTGAGACCCAAGTGCTGCATGACGGAGTGAGCTCCCGTCTCTAGTTCCAGCTCCTGCCAACCTAGCAGTTCGAAAGCAAGAAATTGCAAGTAGATAAATAGGTACCGCTTCGGTGGGAAAGTAACAGCGTTCCGTGCGCCTTGGTGTTTAGTCATGCCGGCCACATGCCCACGGAAACGTCTTCGGACAGCGCTGGCTCTTCGGCTTTGAAACGGAGATGAGCACCGCAACCCTAGAGTCGGATTTGACTGGCTTTCGAGCAAGGGGAACCTTTACCTTTTTACTAGAGCCCATCACTGTCGCTTCCAGGATGATTGAAGCATTTCTTGTCCAGAATTGACAGTCTGTCTTTCTAAATAACAAGCCCACAGAACCAGTGTGGTGTAGTGGTTAGACTAGGACCAGGGAGAATCAGGTTTAAATCCCCACTCCACCACGAGATCTACACCTTCCGGTATCTCTGTTTCCTCCCAGAGCAGTGTGTGTTAAATGCTGTCAAGTCACTTCTGACTTACGGTGACCCTATGAATGAATGAATGTCCTCCAAAATCTTCCCACTCTCAGAGTCAGGTGACCTTTTTAACTTGCGTGCCCCCCCCCCCATGCAGCACAAAGTTGTTTGTGTGGTGGCAAACAAAATGGCCTGTGGGGAAAAAGCAGAGTTGTACTTGGCCAGACACGCTGGGAGCAAGCTGAGCTGCACCACTGCTGCTAGCACCTCAGGGGCTCACCTCAGACCTGAATGCGGCTGTACAGGCCTGGGAGACGATGACCCACGGTGCCTCTTCCATGCTGCCAGCACCTTGGGGGCGTCTTGTTGCTTGGGCATGGAACCACCCTGAGTGACAAGCAGATTAGTCTGGCATTCTCTTCTTTCAGCAGGCAAGGCAGGGACTGCCGACTCCTGACCTCACCTTATTTCACAGAAGAGCCAGGATAAAATGTGAGAACCAAGAGCCATAAGGGCATCTATGCAAGTCCAATTACAGTCCACAAATTCGCTTCTTCTTCTTCTGTTGTTTCTTTATTTTAAGTCATGCAGGGCTGCTGCTGCTGCTTCCAACAATTGTCATGCGACTACAGATTTCCCAGGTATATACCGTATTTTTCGGACCATAAGACGCACTTTTTCTTCAAAAAAAAGTGATGGAAAAAGTGTGTGCGTCTTATGAACCGAATGTGGGACATGCCCCTGGCAAAAGTTAAGAGTATTGCAAGCGTCCAGCCAGCAGGGCTCTCTCTCCTTCCCACGCTCAGCCAGCCAGCCATGTGTGAGTCGCAGGGCTTGTGCATCCCCCCCCCCGTCGCTTCTCCCCCTCCCCCAGCAGCCTGGCCGCCTTTGCAGGAGTCGCCCCGTCGAAGGAGCCTGGAAGCAGAAAGACGGCTTGGGGAAGGGGGGGAGGTGATGAGACCAGCGCTCCCTCTAAGCGGTGGAGTCTTGTGAGCAAAATTTCTACTTTGTGAGCCACTGGCATTAAAGCTGTGAGCGAGTGATTTGGCTACTGCATCAGTTAGTTTGCCTCTGGAGCCCTCCTTCCTGAGTGAAGAGAAAAATATGTGAGCCAGAGGCTTAAAAGCTGTGAGCTAGCTCACACTAACTCAGCTTAGAGGGAACACTCCTGGTAACTGGAATGTGAATAGCTACATATTTTGTACTTCATCTATTACCAAACAGCTTTCCTTTTTGGCACTCTGGTACTAGGTCTTCACTGATGTGCTTGTTGTTGCTTTTCTCTCAACAAACCAGTTACTGAAAATAGATAAAATTGTGTTGAACTTCTATCCTTTTTACCTGACATGGGTGCTTTGCTTGTTTTCCCCCACATGTGCCATCAGATAGGCTCGCCAGCTCTGAGTTGGCAATACCTTGGAGATTTTGGGGGTGGAGCCTGAGTGGTGGGTTTAGATTCAGAGGAATTAGCTGTGTTAGTCTGTTGCTGCAAAGAGTTCAAATAGCACCTTTAAGACTAACAAATAGCACCTTTAAGACTAACCTTTAAGACTAAGACTAACTGAGTGGTGGGTGTGGCCTTATGACACACTTCCGGTGATGTCAGGCTGTGTGGCACATGCTAATGAGTTATGCTAATGAGT